TCCCGCCTGATACTTCTACTTCCCCCGTTTTCTGGCCGCAGGAGCTGAGGAGCCCTTCCTCCGTATTCACGCCGCAGGAGCTGAGGAGCCCAAAAAGTGACGAAAGTCACAGGAATCCGATGACCCGCTCGGATTACCAACATAAAGTGCGGGATCCGTCATGGCGGAGAGTCGCCGCGCAGGGCGCTGGAGGCTTAAGTTTTGGCCTAAAAGGCGGAAGCCATAGGGAGGGGGCTCCCGCTTGAGATTTCCTCACAATTCACTCACAGACGAGGCTCCCACTTGATACTTCCCCAAAATACAGGCCTGAGGAGCCCAAAAATAACGACAGTTATACGTTTCCGATGAGCCGTTCGGATTACCAACATGAAGTGCGGGACCCATAGGAAAGGAACTCCCGCTTGAAACTTCCTCACAATTCACTCGCAGACGAGGCTCCCGCTTGATACTTCCCCCAAGTTCAGGCCTGAGGAGCCCAGAAGTGACGACAGTCACACGTTTCGGATGACCCGCTCGGATTACCAACATGAAATGCGGAACCCATAGGACGGGGGCTCCCGCCTGAGACTTCCTCACAACTCACTCACAGACGAGGCTCCCGCTTGATACTTCCCCCAAATTCAAGCCTGAGGAGCCCAAAAGTGACGACAGGTACACGTTTCGGATGACCCGTTCGGACTACCAATATGAAGTGCGGGACCCATAGGAAGGGGGCTCCCGCCTGAGACTTCCTCTCAATTCACTCACAGACGAAGCTCCCGCTTAATACTTCCCCAAGAAAGCCTGAGGAGCCCAAAAGTGACGACAGTTACACGTTTCGGATGACCCGCTCGGACTATCAACATGAAGTGCGGGACCCATAGGGGGCTCCTGCCTGAGACTTCCTCACAATTCACTCACAGACGAAGCTCCCGCTTGATACGTCCCCCAAACTCAAGCTAGGGGGTGAGTGATGACGAAGTGATGAGTGAGTGAGTGAGTGAGTGAGTGAGTGAGTGAGTGAGTGGGTGGGTGAGTGAGTGAGTGAGTGAGTGAGTGAGTGAGTGAGTGACGATGCTGATGAGTGAGTAGGTGAGCGAGTGATGATGATGGTGACGATGATGAGGATGATGATGATGATGATGATGATGATGATGATGATGATGATGATGATGATGATGATGATGATGATGATGATGATGATGATGATGATGTGTGGTGATGCTGATTGATGATGATAACGATGGTGATGATGATGAATGTGATAATTCCCTACCTAGGCTCTGCCTATAAGGGTTCTTACTCTCTTGGCTTAAAGGGCCGGACAGAGGGAACAGGCCCGGGCGGTTCCCCCAGTATCCGCCCCGCGGTTCCCCCAGTTACGTCCCCTTAGCTTAGCGTTGCTTATATTATCTTAGCTTAGCTGATTTCATCTTAGCTCAGCTTAGCTTCATCTTAGCTTAGCTTCATCTTAGCTTAGCCTAGCATAGCTTAGCATAGCATAGCGTAGCATAGCATCGCATAGCATAGCATAGCATAGCGCAGCATAGCATAGCATAGCATAGCATAGCATAGCATAGCATAGCATAGCATAGCATAGCATAGCGCAGCATAGCATGGCATAGCATAGCACAGCATAGCAATTAATGCTGTTTTCCTAGGGGCTCCAACTTCTTGGTAGGGTCGCACTGGGGTAATGATGATGATTGATCGAATGATGATGATGCTGTTGATGATGGGGATGATAATGGTGTGAGTGTGAATGAGTGTGATGATTATGATGATGGTGACGATGATGAGGAGGAGGATGATGAGTAGTGACGGTGAGTGGTGATGATGATGATAATGATGATGGTGAGTGAAGGGGAGAGGGGTGGGAGGTGAGGTGAGGTGAGGTTCCTGCGCGAGGTGTCCAGAGAAAACAAGAACCCCACTTTGGATGTGGGGAAAAAGTGTAGATTCCCCAAGCAGTGCTTGCACTCAGGAATTCTTTACGTGGCTTAACTATCTCGGGGTGAGTGGCGGCTTTTGCGGGCGGTGCCGCCCGTCGCCGCCGTCGCCGCCGTCGCCGTCGCCGCCGCTCGGAGCGCGTGGCGGCTTTTGCGGGCGGTGCCGCCAATCGCTGCCGTCGCCGCCGCTCGGGGCGAGTGGCGGCTCTTGCGGGCGGTGCCGCCCGTCGCCACTGGCCTCTGGGCCATCTTGCGCCGTCTTGGTGCCCCCTTGGACTGGAAGCCTCTGGGTCCGTCCTGGGGCGACCTTGGGGGCCTCTTGGGCCGTTTGGGGGCCGTCTTGGAGGCACCTTAGGCCGAGAAGCTTCTAAGCCTGCGCTGGGTCATGTGTACCATGTCTTAACCACGACTCGGCGGTATCGGGGTCGTCTTGGCGCCGTCTTGAGGCTCTCAACGACCTCTACGACCCATGTGGGGAGCGAAACCGCCCCACAAAGGGCCGAAGACGGGCCCCAGACCCTGGGAGCTAAATCCGATTACTGAGGGGATTGGCCCCAATTGCCTTTGTGTGCTGAGGACTGACACAACAACAACGAGAAAAATCCGCCGACCCTGTCGGCGTGTCGGAGAGGCTTTCCCGTCTTCCCCGCAGCGTCGTCGCCTCTTCTGCTTTCCGAGGGCTCCCTACACCAGTCCACACTAAAAATGAACAACGTCGTCCTTCAGTCGAAGGGAAGCCCCTTCCCTTGATCCCTTCCCCGCCGGGGCGGTCCCGGGGGGGGTCCTGGGGCGACTCCCGGGGGGAGGTCCCCCCTCGGATACGCAGCCCCCCGCCTCTCCTCCTCCTCCTGCGTCGTGGGGCTCCGTTGGCCCTCCGGGGCCGTCGGCGGGCCCTCTCAGCCTACTTTAAGGCTCCTTGGAGACCTTGCGCCATTTTTTAACTCTCTTGGCAGCCTCTGGCGGCACTCTTGACAGCCTCTGCGGGCGCTCTTGGACCTCGCTTGACGCCGTCTTGGAACCCTCTCGAGCCATTGAGGGCGCTCTTTGCCTATCTTGGCACTCTCTGGAGCCGTTCCCGAACCCTGGAGGAGGCCTCTGGAGCTGTCTTCGGACGACCTTACAGGCATCTGGCGCCGTCTTCGAGCCATCTGAGGGCATCTTGGACTCCTCTACCTCCATTGTCTTCGTCGTCGCTGCCTACAGGGTCGGCGGCATCGGCCATGACGCCTTCGCAATAGCGATTGGTTCAAAAGGTTGGATGCCTGGGAAAGGTCTGTCGGGCACAGCTTCTCGGGGTACATGATCCACTCATTGTCAGGCCCACCTGATCGAAGCCTCAGTGCATTGCAGATAAATCACAAAATCCGAAACATCTAAGAAAAGAGGGTGGTGATGGTGCTTGCAGGAAGCTCGAGTAGGCGAAAACAACAGAAGGGCATCGATATCGACATGTTTCTCCGATAGGATATCTTGCCCAAGTTCTCCCCACAGGAATTGTGGAGCAAATGCTTATGGACGCTCGTAAGCACGCCACCCGAAGCCATGATCATCCTTACGTGCCCGCGACGCGAGATGCTAGGTGTCCGATAACGCATCCCCAGAACGGCTGCAGAATATCTGAAGCGATGTATCGACGAGAAGACGACCAGGTCGATCAGAAGAGCAACAACAAAACGTAACGTCGCAGCGCGGCAGAGGCAAGTCCGCACGCGCACTCGGGCAAGCCGGGAAACGGCATCGCTAATTGTCCGAACAACAACAACAACAACAACAACAACAACAACAACAACAACAACAACAACAACAACAACAACAACAACAACAACAATCATTCTGAGACTGTTCGTTCTTACTGGCACGCGTGTCTTGCATTCCGTCTACCCCAACCCTCGGCACCCGCCCACTTCGTCTTCGATTACACCCCCTTTCGGGGGGAATCTCTTCCTTGTCGGCCACTGACTGAAGTGGAGCGAGAGCGCCGTTCTGGAGTTCGGGGGCCTCTCTGGCCAGGGGTTCTCGGAATACGTATGGAGAAATATCGAACGGGAACCCTTGTCGCCGTGTCCGGGCCTCCACCAATTTGCCTGAATTACGGGAAAGTCTCTAACGAGAGCGCCGTTCCGGAGTTCGGGGGCCTTCTTGGCCAGGGGCTCTCGGAGTAAATCGTGAGGACGTATCGAGCAGGAGCCCTTGTTGTCGTGGCTGGGCGTCCGCCAATTGAATTGAATTACGAGGAAATCTCGAGCGAGAGCGCCGTTCCTACGTTCGGGGGCCTCTCTGGCCAGGTTGTCTCGGGGTAAATTGTGAGGAAATATCGAGCGGGAGCCGTTGTTGTCGTAGCTAGGCCTCCAAGGGCCCGAATTTAGGCTCAAGCCAACGCTCGAGCGGGAGCCTCGTTTTCAGAGAACATGTAGCCGGCGTCGAAGCGAGAGCGCGCGGAACCGTTTCCAGACATCAGCAATAATTATTATTTAAAAATGACTGCTCAACAACCATAACAACAATATTATCATCAACAACAACAACCATAACAACAACCACAGCAACAACAACAACAACAACAACAACAACAGCAACAACACCAACAACAACAATAACCACAACAACAACCACAACAACAACAATAACCACAACAACAACAGCGACATCAACAACAACAACGACAACAACAACAACGACAACCGCAACAACGACAACAACAACAACAACAACAACAACACCAACAACAGCAACAGCAACAGCAACAGCAGCAACAGCAACAGCAACAACGACAACAAAGCAAGCGTCTCTGTTTTTCGATTCTCACGTCGGGGGGCTCGCGATTCGCGGCGGAGGATCGGCCCGTGGCGTGGGGTCGAGGGCTCCAGAGCCCGAGGCATTGAAAAGCAAGGAACTCGGAGGTATGACCGTAAAGCCCGACCAGAAAATAGCGAATCGAGTAGGGGATCGACTACATAATTGATCTACCCCAAAGTTGATGTGTTCGTCGAGTCTGCGCAAAATACGTAGAATGCTCCGTAGAGCACATATAATCGATTTGGGGGTAATCAATTCTGTAGTCGATCCCCTACTCGGGCGAACGGTGACCAGTGCGCGTTGGCTGCAAGCAGGATTGCGTTGGCACCACCAGACGCCTGGCGAAGCCCTTTTTCGGACTGCGGCCCGCACGCTTGTTCGCACACAGGGCTCGCTCAGGGGAGGACGAGAGGCCAGGGCGGCCGCAAGCACCACCACCTGGACCAGCGGGCAGTAGACGCGCGGATGCCGAACAAAATAAAAATCAGCCGGCGATGGAGGGCGATCGCGAGGCGATGGTCGCCTGCTTCCGTGCGCGCCGCTCTGCGACCCGCTGGCGAGCGGACGAGGAGGGCGCGGCGGAGGTTGCCGCGTTGGCGGCAGCCTCTTGGAGGCCCTCGGGCACGTGCGCCTGCCACTGGGAGCCACGCCGGCCAGAGATGAGCCGCGCGGTGCGCATGATCGCCATGGCCTTCGGCCGCGCCACTGCACCGCCGGCAGAGGGCCCTGATCCATCCGCGGCAGCTGCGCCCGCCGAGAGGTCCCCAGGCGCGTCCGCCGCCTGTGGTGCTCTGGCCGCGGCCCGAGGCGTCTCCACCGCGGCCGGCAGTGCCTCGGCCGCGGCAGGCGCCGCAGGCGCCGCCGCCGCCGCCGCCGAGGGCGCAGCAGCCGCCACGGGCACCGAGGCCGCCGGCGACGCCGCGGGGGGCGCAGAGGCCGAAGAGCGCGCGAGGAGCGCGGCCTCCTGCGGCGCGGCCTGGGCGGCAGCGTCCGGCAGCGCGGCGAGTGGCGGCGCGGGTGGCGGCGCGGCCTCTGCGGGTCCCTCGGAGCTGGCGGCGGGGCGCAGCAGGGCCAGGAGGCCGGCGGTCGCCTGCGCCAGGGCGCCGCCAGTGGCCTCGGGCGGCCGCCTCGCCGAGGTCGGTGCCTGCATGGGGCTCCGGGCACTCCGCTTCGAATCCCTGGCGGCCCTCTTCTCCGACACGACCCTCTCCACCGCGTCAAGGGTCGCGGTGGCACTGGCCGCCGCCCCCTCCGCCTGCGCCCTTGCTGCGGCGATGCGTTCCTGTGTGCGCTGGCTGCGGCGCTTGCCCAGGAAGGCGGTGTGCAGGCGCTGCACGGTCGTGCCCGCGTCGGCCGCGGCCCTACGCGGCGACGCGCTGCGCAGAGACGCAGGCCGCGGTGGCGGAATCGGGTCATCCAGGCGGCCCACGTCTGAGAAGAGGCCTCCAGCGCCGTCCCCAACTGACAGCTGTCCCCCTGCACCTCCGCAAGGGCCGTGCGGCGTCCCTGGCGCGTCGTCCGCCGCAGCCCATGGCAGCCCGGGCTCGTCCATCGAGGCCATCCTTCAGGGGGACCAGGAAAATCCAGAACCCGCAACTCCCCTGCCCTAAACGCCGCCGCCGCCGCCGCCGCCTTCCTCCTCCTCCTCCTCCTCCTCCTCCTCCTCCTCCTCCTCCTCCTCCTCCTCCTCCTCCTCCTCCTCCTCCTCCTCCTCCTCCCACTGAGGGGGAGGGAGGAGGAGGAGCCCTGCCTCTGAGGAGGAGGCGGAGCAGAATGACAACGAGGACGATGAGGCAAACGACGACGAAGACGAAGATGAAAACGACGACGATGACGACGACGACGACGACGAAGCCGAAGCCGCAGCCGAAGCTCAAGCCGAAGCTTTGTAACGTCGAGTAGTCCCCTGCGGTCTCCAGTCCCCCTGAGGCCTGGAGACATCCCAACAAAACTAAAGCATAACAAATCACGCCAGCATCTGGGCGCAGTCGGTCGAGTGGGTCATCTCTTCCCTCTTTCAATACCTCCTTTTCTCCTGCGGGGAGGGGCTAACCCCTCCCCCTATCCCTACCGTGGGGGTCTCGGGGGAAAACCGATGTGTCAGAGGGGCCTCCTGGACCCCGGATGGCATCAAGCTGGTCCCCGCTGCCCCAAGTGGCCTCACAGATGGCACAAGACAGCCGAAGATGGCTCAGGATAGCCTGGGACATACCTCAGACATGATTGAAAATGCTGATTCCGGTTTCTCACCTTTTCGCTTCAGATGGTCCTCTGGATGGACTCAAACTAGCCCGTGGGAGCCCCAAAAGGAGCCCAGACGGGCCCCAAGACGGCCCAAGTGGCCCCCAAGCACTCCCACGGGGCCCCGAGAGGCATTTGCTCTCCCTCCAGGGGAGCGCCCCAAGAGGACCCCAAGAGGCGATTTGTCGTCCTCCCACTGGGGGACCTGCATTAAAGCCTTCACCCTTTTTGAGCCATGAGGCCTAAGATCGCCCCAAGAGGGCGGGCAGACCCTCCCGCAAAGCCGAGAGGGCTCCGAGAGGCCCCCAAGAGAGACTAAAAGGCGTCAAACATGGCGCCAAAATGGCTCCAGGAAGCTTCCAAGATGCCTCCAAGATGCCTTCAAGAGGCTTGCGGAGCAAAAGATCCGCGAAGGCCTTTTTGGTTGGCTCGTCGACGTCCTCCTCCTCCTCCTCCTCCTCCTCCACCACCTCATCTTCCTCCTCCTACTCCTTCTTCTTATTATGATTCATATCATGATTTTAGTATTAGTAGAATTCGTATTACTAATATTAGTATTATTGTTATTATTATTATCATTATTATTAGTATTAATATTATTAGTATTACTACTAATATTATTATTATTATTATTATTATTAGTGTTAGTATTATTATTAGTATTATTATTAATATTATTACTATTAGTAGTAGTATTATTAGTATTATTATTAATATTATTATTATTGTGATTGTTGTTGTTATTAATACTAGTCTTCGTATTACTATTCTTATTATTGTTCTTATTAATATGATTATTATTAGTATTATTAGTATTATTCGTATTCTTCTTCTTACTATTATCATTAGTATTATGATTATGCTTCTTATTATTCTTCTTAGTATTATTCGTATTGTTCTTATTATCTGTAGTATTCGTATTCATCCTCTTATTCGTCTTATTAGTATTCTTCTTATTACTAGTATTAGTCTTCTTCTTTTTAGTATTCTCTTTATTCTTATTCTTCGTAAATTTCTTCTTATTCTTCTTATTACTACTACTATTATTAGTATTATTAGTATTAGTCTTATTATTATTATTAATATTACTTTTCTTATTATTATTTTTCCTCCTCCTCCTCCTCCTCCTCCTCCACTTCCTCCTCCTCCTCCTTCCTCCTTTTCCTCCTCCTCCTCCTCCTCCTCCTCCTCCTCCTCCTCCTCCTCCTCCTCTCGTCCTCCTCCTCCTCCTCCTCCTCCTCCTCCTCCTCCTCCTCCTCCTCCTCCCTCCTCCTCCTCCTCCTCCTCCTCCTCCTCCTCCTCCTCCTCCTCCTCCTCCTCCTCCTCCTCCTCCCTCCTCCTCCTCCTCCTCCTCCTCCTCCTCCTCCTCCTCCTCCTCCTCCTCCTCCTCCTCCTCCTCCTCCTCCTCTCCCTCCTCCTCCTCCTCCTCCTCCTCCTCCTCCTCTCCTCCTCCTCCTCCTCCTCCTCCTCCTCTTCCTCCTCCTCCTCCTCCTCCCCCGCATCGCCCTCCTTTTCCTCCTCCTCCTCCTCCTCCTCCTCCTCCTCCACGAGGGCTCCAAGAAGACCCCGAAATTGCCCGAATAGTCCCCCTACCAACTGTTAGGGAAAAATCGCGTCGGCATTACCCCCCTCCCGTCTCCTCTTCCTGTTTCCCGTTCCTGTCCTTCCTGCATATCACCCCTCCAAACCCCCCTCATGTATTCCCCCCCCCTCTCTTCTCATGATGGTTCCAGGCAGCCTCTACGAGGCTCCTGAGACTCGTATGTGTTTAATTGCTGTATATTTTCGGTACGCGGGCGCGCGAGCGCGAAACGGGTCGAACGCCGGGCGAGCAGGGGCAGGCTGTGGACTGGTGGGTATATTTGTTGTTCGCGAGCGCGCAGGGATGCCAGGCGCCGTCAAGAAACGCGGCTAACAAGCAGCGGACCAAATTCCGCACAAGAGCGCACAGTAGCGAGCTACGCTGCGGCCCAATAGACGCGGTGGACCAGGAGGAACCACAGGTCGAGGCGCAGCACCAAAATGGCGAAATTCATGAAGTCCGCGTACACGAAGACGACGATGGGGCGTGCAGGCGCTCAATGGAAGAGTCCTGGATCGCCAGGAGTGGGAGCGTGCCAGCGGTGAAAGCGCCACCACGGCGGAGGGGCAGGAGAAGCGACGCCAGGGCAACACAACGGCAGCGAAAGCGACGAGCCAGCGGAAAAGGCCACGTCCTGAACTGGAAGCGGCGGCGCCCAAGCCAGGGGTACAAGCCGACCCTGGGAGAGGCGGCGGGGGGAGAACCGAGCGTCGACTAAACTTGTGGGTATACTTTTTAGTCAGCGGCCGCGGGCGAGCGCGCCGGCGGCGAATCAGGTCAAGGCGGGCTACGCAGAGACTAATTAGGCAAAGGGAAACGCGAGAAAGTTGAAGCAGAGGCAACGCGCGAGGCAACAGCTACGCGCCGGCCGAGGCCTCACGCAGCGGCCCAACGGCAGGTGGGTGGCTGAAGGGACAGAGACTGAGGGGAACTCCCAGCGCGCAAAGCTGCAAGTCCGTCGGAGGCGCCAAAAGTCGGAAAGTCAACGACGGCCAGGGACAGCTCCGAGAGAGAAAGCACGAAACCGCACCTCAGACGACTGCGTGGGCACCAGGGTGGCCGTGGCCAACGAACCGTCAGTCGAGGTAGGAAAGAGAAATGCAAAGGCGAAGCCCCGGACGTCGGCGAAGCGCGAGAACCAGGGTGGCCCAAAGGACCGTCGGCCAAGGAATTGACGCCAGGAGGCGAGTGCATTGACAGGCTGCAACTCCCAGGGTGGCGGAAGCCGAGAGACCCCTAGGCAGCAGTACGCACGAATGCAGGAAGCGGCGTAGCCGCGACGCGGCCAAACTGGTAGGTATACTTGTTTGGTCGGCGGCCGCGCGACAACGGTCTGGCGGCGAGAGGCAAAGTCCGCGGCGTGCGGCAGGATGCGAATTAGCGAACACCGCCGCCACGTCGGCAAGCTGGTTCGCACCTGCACAACAAGAGCGCAGTTGCACATGCACAGAACAAAATGAACGAAATTCACAAGCAAACGCACATAGGCGCCGCAGTGTGAACCGAGGTGGACAAGCGGCAGAGCGCGCGAATCAGAAGGAAAACCGAGGGCTGCACAGGAGTAGCAGGCTGAACCACACGGCGCCCAGACCTCCGTAATCCGCCCCCCAGCGCCAGGTGGAGCCATGCGGCTGCGCCCAAGGCGCAACTGCGATGCCGATCCCTGAAGCGAAGAGATCCGCAGGCGCGGGGGGCACCGCCATCTAGCGGTGAAGCGCCTGCGCAGCCTGCCAGGGGGGGCCCTGCTGCAGCGGAGGCAAGTGGGAGGCCGGTGGAGTGAGTCGCCTGCGGGGCGCTAGACTCCGAACGCCCGCGACGTCTGCAAGCCAAGCAGCTGTCGCGGAACTGGTGCGGCGCACTGGCCGACAGCTGGTGGGAGCCTGGGCGCTGTCTTGCTGCGGAAGGCTGGGCCACTCCGCGGCGACCCAACACCCGAGTGACCACTCCACAGGGCAAAGGGGGACAAGCGACTGCGGGCCACGCAGCGCGTGCCGGCACGGCGCCGTGCCTCAGAGAGGGGGGGGGGGGGGGGGGCGCAGGCGGGGCGCACCGCCAGCGGAGGAGTGAGGGGAAGGGCAGCACTGGTGGTAGCGCTGCCCCCTGCGGTGTCAAAGGGCGAGGCGCCCGGGGGAGCTGCACTGTGGAGGACACGCGGGCCAGGAGGCAAGCCAGGCCCCGTCCGCCGATAGGCACTGCCCCCCAGACCCAAGGCCCAACGCACACCACGATGTCCTCCAGGGCCGAAACACACTCCGCAGAGAGCGGGAGCCAGACCACGAAGCGCAGAACACGGGCGGCCCTGGGAGGGGGGGCAACCACCCCGACGTCGGATAGCACGTCTGGCAGGCCCCGAGGCCGAGGGCGGGGGACACCCGCCAGGCCCGAGAGGGGAGAGGCGAGGAGACGCACCGCCACACCCCTCGGCCAGGCCACGAATCCGAGGGCTAGGGGCCATGGTCATCTCCTGGGTTTCCCCTAAGCTGATGCGGCCCTGATCCAATGTGTTCCTGAGGTGGGCGCCCTCGTTGGCCTCGAGGCCCCTCGGAGTGTCCACCCTAGGTGTTCGCACACACTGATCCTGAGTTGTGCTGAGAAGGGGGGTGCAGCTAACCGCCGCAGAGTACTCTCTCTCTCTCTCTCTCTCTCTCTCTCTCTCTCTCTCTCTCATGGTCATGGGGGGTGCAGCTAACCGCCGCTGAGTTCACTCTTCCTTTCACATTGGGGGTGCAACTAACCGCCGCTAGAGTCACTATTTGTTGGCGGTTGCCTCCGTTTCCGTCGCCAGATTGCACCTCGGGGGCGTGGCTCGCCACTGTCTGAGGAGATGCAGGCGCATGCTCTCTGGGGGGTGGGCAATGTCCTCCGCAGCTGCGAGCTGTTGCGCCTCCTCCTGGCACTCCCTGGTGCTCGCCTCATCTGATGCCTCTCGGTGCCCCCTGGGACGTCAGCCTCAGGGAGTTGGATGGCCCTCACTGCTGGAGGCGAGGAGTCCTGAGCGGCCCCGAGGCGGGGGGAGGAGGGAGGCGCGGGCGGGACAGGGAACGAGACGGGGTCGGGAGCGGGGATGGGGTGAGCGAGGACAGGACACCCCCGAACCTGAACATCCGTCTCCATGCCCCTTCCGTCCCCACCCGGTCCGCCGCAAGTGCGTCTGCGAGAGCCCCGTCTATGATGCATCGACCTTTCGTTGACACGGGGGGTGCAGCTAACCGCCGCAGAACACGATTTGATGGAAAGTGTGTCTGCGAGAGCCCCATCCATGATTGGAAAGTGCCTCCGCCTCCGCCCTCAGCGCTGCAATTGATGACAGCGAGCGCACTTGCCGCTGAGAGTGGCGGGGGGGGGGGCTGATCGACGGCATGACGGGGGGTGCAGCTAACCGCCGCGCAACACGATTTGATGGTAAGTGCGTCTGCGAAAGCCCAATATATGATACGGACCTTTCGTTGACACGGGGGGCGCAGCTAACCGCCGCAGAACGCGATTTGATGGAATGTGTGTCTGCGAGAGCCCCATCTATGATTGGATAGCGCCTCCGCCTCTTCGATGGAAACTGCGTCTGCGAGAGCCCCATCTCTGATACATCGACCATTCGTTGACACGGGGGGTGCAGCTAACCGCCGCAGAACACGACGCGTTGGAAAGTGTGTCTGCGAGAGCCCAATCTGCGATTGGATAGATAGCGCCTCCGCCTCTGCTCTCAGCGCTGCAATTGATGACAGAGAGCGCCGTGAAGACGAAGCGCGCACGAGGGGGGGGCCAAGGGTGGCCCTTGGCTGCCAGAACAGGGATGCGAGAGCGCCTCGAGTCCCGGTGGGAGGCCCCAGCCCTTGGCACAGGCAGGCCCCCGCGCGCACCCAGGGCCGCCGCGTCCGGCTGCGGCCAAGACGAAGCGTGCACGGGGGGGGGCGAAGAAAAGCCCTTGGCAGCCAGAACGGGGATGCGAGGGCGCCTTGACCCCCCGAGGGAGGCCCAGAGCCCGAGGCACAGCAGCCCCCGCGTCGCCCAGGGCCGCTGGGCCCGGATGCACCCCTTTCGCAGGCCGCGTTTTGCTGGGCAGCAACGGGCCTGCTGCCAGTGACCATCCTCCTCGCACCTGATCCCTGCGCGCGCGACGCCACAAGGTGGGGCAGCAACGGCTACTGTGGGGAGACGGCCCGCCATTGATTTTTGCCCTTCATGGGCGCCTGGGTGCCCGGGTAGCCCCTTGCCGCGCGGCGACCCCTGCTCGCTCCGCCGCTTCGACCCGGGCGCAGATGCCACGGCCGAGCCCAGTCGACGTCGAGGCCCAGCGCGTCGCTGACGACCCGTACGTCGCACTTGTGGCTGCGGAAGGATTCCAGGAAGAGGTGGCAGGTTTGCGGGTCGCGCCGAAGCGGGTCGAGCGCGCCTTTGCTGCCAGGCACGGACTGCCGCTTGGCGAAAGCGTGCCAGGTGCCTGTGAACATTGTTCCAAGTGTGACTTGGAACCGCCTCATCGCCTCGCCGGGTGTCTCCCCGGGTAGGCCCCACGGGATGCTGTTGATTTCTGTCTCGCACAACTGCTGTCCCGTGTCGGGGCCCGTGGGCCCCGGCCATTGGCGCGGGCCAGGCCATTGGTGCTGCCGTGTATCCTGGCCGCAAGTCTCCAGCGTACCGGCCTCGCTGTCCTGGCCAGAGGGCTCGCGATCTGCCCGCGACAGTTCCGGCCGCATGCCTGGCGGGGTTCTGCGGGGAGAGGCGGGCAGCATGGTTGGCCGCCAGGCGGGGGTCGGATCGTCTCTGGCAGCCAGGGCGGACGCTGCCCTGTGGCGCGTGGGGAGAGGCCCCTTTCGCTGGCGCTCGCCTTCGGGCCTGCGCCCGCCGTCGCTCCCGGGCGCGCCCCCTTCGGTCAACGCAGGACTCTCGCCGGTCTCGGAAGCGCCGCTGGTTGTGCCAGGCGCGCGCACGTACGGCGACACAGTTTCCGCTGCCAGAGCACAAGAGTCTTTCTCAGTCGCGTCCTGGACGTCAGGAGAGAGCGCCCGGGGCTCGCCGCCCATTAGAGTGGGTTCACTGGCAGGGGAGGGGGGGCGAATAGGCGCGAAGGGGTTTCTCCCGACGAGCCAGTGGATGGCTTCGCTGTCCTGCGTCTGGACGGTAGGTCCATGGCCCCCCTGCTGGGTCTGCGGCGCTCCCAACGGACTGCTGACGGTCTGATTGTTTCGAGGGGGGCGCGGGGGTGGCATGGCGCGGCAGGCGAGCCCCTGCTGTTCCGGGATCTCGCTTAGCTGACTGCCGCGGCTGCCGTCAGCACTTTCGGGGGCCACCCCCTGCCCACCCGGTTCTAATCAGAGACACGGATGAAGGCTTGCGCCACTTCCGCACCTTCAGAGGCTTCCGTCGCTTCGGGCCCCCGACACTCCGCGGCCTCCGCAGCCTCCGCCGACTCCGCCGCGGCCTCCCTCTCCTTTTCTCTGCCCTGCTGCTGCTGCTGAGGGAGCAAGGGTACCTCTGAGTCTTCTCGTGGGTTCAGCTGCTGCTGTGGCAATGGTTGGGGGTGCTGCCGCTGTCGCTGCCGCTGATGCGGCTGCTGCTGCTGCTGCAGCTGCTGGGTTCTGTTGCTGCTGCTGCTGCGGCTGTCGCTGCTGCTGCTGCTGCTGCTGCCCTGCTGCTGCTGCTGCTGCTGCTGTCGCTGCTGTTGCGGCTGCAGTTGCAGCAGCTGCGGCTGCTGCTGCAGGTACTGCTGCTGCGGCAGCTGCTGCTGCCGCTGCTGCTGCGGCTGTTGTCGCTGCTGCTGTCGCTGCTGCCGCTGCTGCTGCTGCTCCTGAAGGTGCAGCTGCAGCGGCTGCCGCTGCTGCTGCGCGGCGCCCGCGGCGGCGGGCCCAAGGGCGGCCGCGCGGGCCACGGCGGCCGCGGCGCCGGCTGCGTGGCCCGCGGCCGCCGCGGCGGCCGACTCCGCCACGGCGGCGGCGGCGGCGGCGGCGGCAGCCGCGGCGCCGGCGGCCGCAGGGGCGGCGGCGGCGGCGCCGGCCGCCGAGCCCGCGGCGCCGGCCCCAGCGTGGGCAGCCGTTGCACGCTGACGCCGACGCCGTGCCGAGATGGTCTCGTGAGGCGGCGCCTGCGAAGCAAACTGGCCGGCGGCCTGCCCGCGGCGGCGGCCGGCCGGCCGGCGGCCTCATCAGGCGGCCAGCCGGCGGTGGCCTCCGCCCAAGGGTCGAAGGCTTGCCCTGGGCCCCTCGGGTCTCGCCGGCCGGCCTGCCAGCGTGCGGCAGAGGCGGGCGCCCCTCGCGCCTGCCATCCGCCTGCGGCCATGGGTTGGAATCAGGATGAAGGAAGAGGAGAAAAGGAAAAAGGGGGCAGTGGGGCCTCCTGGCGGCCGGCGGCTTGACCCAGAGCGGCCTGAGCCAGGGCTTGAGCCAAGGCTACGGACTGGTGGGTATACGCGAAGCGTCAACACTTTCGAGGCGAGTCCAGCCATGGCGACGAGGGCCCCCCAGGACGCCCGAAAATGCGAAAACAAGGCACCGGTGGCAATATCAGTACATTTTCACACGAATCCCGAAACGTTGAGGGGACAGACCGTGCGGTTACCCGAATCCCCAACGACCTCACCGCACGGTGCGTCACCGCACGGTGCGTCACCGCATGATTATGGAACCTCAGAGGCCCCAGCCGCCCGAGAAATTCTCGGAGAGCGATCCACCCACCCAAAATCGTGCGGTCACCCCGAATTCCCACTGACTCTGGAGGAACAAAAACTGCATTTACATAAAACGTTCGGAGGTCCGCGCGGATTTCTTGGATCGGCGCTGGGCCTCCCTCCCTGGCGCGCCGAGCCCACCAGGGGCGGCGCCAGAGGCGCCGCCTGGGAGGGCCAGGCGCCGTCTTGTTTAGCGGGCGAAGAACGGTATAACATAAACTTGTCCGTTACCGCGGGCGCTGCCCCAGGGCGGCTGGACAGTTTATACCTTGACGTGCCACCGTAAGGGTATAAACTTTCCATCCGCCCAGGGACGCCCCCCACAGCGAAACAGTTTATTCTATACAGTTTTTCGCACATGAATTGCTGTTCGTCGAAGCTCGCCACACTGCGTGGTCACCGCACCATCTGGGGCTGGACGGGGCCCAGGACGAGGATAAATCCGTGCCAGAGGGCTCCGGAACGCTCTCAGAGCGCTCCAGAACGCTCTGCGAAGGCCGCGGCGCACGATGCATCCTCCAGAGCCGCCGGATCTCGGAGATTCTCGATTCCTCCTCACCCGAACTCATCCTCGTCCTGGCTGCGTAACATTCTGGAGGTCGGAAAGGGGCGTGTGGCTGAAAGGGGTGTGGTGCCAGTCGTGGGAACTGCGATGCTGTATATATATATATACACGATAGATAACCTCGCCAGATCCAGCGATGGCACCACAACCCTTTCCCCGGCGGTGGACGAACCTCCCTTTAGTAAACCACCCTTTGGTGAAAACGGCCTGGGACCGAAACCGACAGACCTGGACCCGCAAAGACGACGGCCGTGACGCCCTCTCGCGAACCGAAAGCGGCCAGTTCGCTAATCACGCGTCAGCGTAGGAGGTTTACCGACCACCGATTCACACCAAAGCCCTTGCCTACCCCCAGACCCTTATGAGGGGCCCCGAGGTGACGACGTCGGCGCCGGGGGCCGGCGCGCCCCCAGCGTCCTGTCGAGCGGCAGCACGCCCGCGCCGCACAGGTCGAGGGACCGGAAGAGCTCCGCGGCCTCGGACGCCGAGGGGCAGTACCTCTGCCAGGGGGGCTCCCGAACGAAGTGGCCCTCCTCCTCCTCCTCTTCTTCTGCTTCTTCTTATTATTATTATTATCATTATTATTATTATCATTATCATTATTCTTCTTCTTAATATTATTATGATTAGTATTATTATTATCATTAGTATTATTAGCATTATTAGTATTAGTATTGTTATTATTAGTAGTAGTATTAATATTATTAATAGTACTATTAGTATTGTTATTATTATTGTTATTATTATTACTATTAATAGTATTATTGTTCTTATTCTGATTATTCGTATTCATATTCTTCTTCTTACTATTATGAGTGTTATTATTATTTGTAGTAGTGTTATGGTTGTTTTTGCTATTAGTATTGTTCTTCTCATTGATGTATTAGTATGGTTATTAGTATGATTACTCTTATTAGTATGATTATTCTTATCAGTAGTATCCTTATTATTATTCTTCTTCTTAGTATTACTATTCTTATTCGTATTATTATTATTAGCATTATTAGTATTAGTTTGTGTATTGTTCTTGATAGTAGTATCATTCGTATTATTATAATTATTAGTACGATTCTAATTAGTTTTCTTATTATGACCCATCGTACTACTATTCGTAGTATTATAATTCGTCTTAGTCGTAATGTTATTATTATTGTAAGTCGTATTATTAATAGTCGTATTATTATTATTCGTCGACTTAGTATTCGTAATAATAATATACTTCTTATTAGTATGAGTACGCTGAATATGATTAGCCTTGTTATTCTTATTATGCGTCTTAATAGTATTATTGTGGTTATCATTATTAGTGGTATTCGTATTCTTCTTATTAACATTATTATTATCATTATTACTATTAGTATTAATAGTATTCGTCTCATTCGTCTTCGTCTTCGCCTTCGTCATCTTATGCTTATTATTATGCTTCTTATTATTATTATGCCTCCTCCTCCTCTTCCTCCTCCTCCGCCGCCTCCGCCTCCGCCTCCGCCTCCGCCTCCGCCTCCTCCTCCTCCTCCCCTCCTCCTCCTCCTCCTCCTCCTCCTCCTCCTCCTCCCCCTCCCCCTCCCCCTCCCCCTCCCCCTCCCCCTCCCCCTCCCCCTCCCCCTCCCTCCCCCCTCCCCTCCCCTCCCTCCCCCTCCTCCTCCCCCTCCCCCTCCTCCCCCTCCTCCTCCCCCTCCTCCTCCCCCTCCTCCTCCTCCTCCTCCTCCTCCTCCTCCTCCTCCCCTCCTCCTCCTCCTCCTCCCCCCTCCCCCTCCTCCCCCTCCTCCCCCTCCTCCTCCTCCTCCTCCTCCTCCTCCTCCTCCTCCTCCTCCTCCTCCTCCTCCTCCTCCTCCTCCTCCTCCTCCTCCTCCTCCTCCTCCTCCTCGCACGAGCGAGCCCGTGGGGGGCAGAGAGGTGGGGTTCGCATGTGGGCCCCCTGCAGGGGTGGGGCGGCTGCTCGGGGCGGAGTGCCCCCTCAGGAAGCAGCAGCACACTCGGGGGCGCGCAGACATGGATCGGCGATCCATGGACTTGGTGCCGCGGCCCTCTCAAAGGCGGCGCGGTCTCAGACGGCCTCTGGCCTTCTGAGAGGTTTCTGTCTTCGGGGAAGGCTTAGGAAATTTATCTGAAGTCCGGGGGACTTCCGAGCCTTCTGAGAAGACCCGCCCCTTTTCGCTTCCCCCAGGGCTCGCCGCAGACTGTAGGGAGAAGGATATCGAAGAAAAGGGCAAAGCCATGAAGGCGCGCCAGGTATAGGCGCGAGTTGTCGAATCCCGAGGGGAGCTCCGTTTCGAGGGGGGGGGCCCATCCAACAGCACACGCCCTTACAATCATCCCCAATAGTAAGGATCCGCGATAAGGATGCGAGGGCCTTGGACGCCCATTTCGAAGCTTCTCGAGCGGAGCGCGGCCGACGAAAGTGCCCAAGGATGGACCGAGGAGGCAAGGATGCGAGGGTACCCTTGAGAAGATTACCCATCCTTCTTATGCGGGCTGACTGTAGCCCCCCCTCGGAATTCCACGCAGAGACACCTTGGCGCCACATAGGTATAGTTGACAGCTCAGAATCCCCAAGACCCCCGAGGCCCTAGCCTCGAGATGTCAAAGGCTTCGCAGAGACTGGAGGCTCTTCCAGCCTCGAGATGCTCTCCAGCAGCTGCGCCTCTGATTACATACCAGAGCACCCCAACCCAACCCGAAGATCCAGGTTTCGGGTTAGGGTGGGGGTACGGGTTCCACATGTGTTTTTTCGATGCTCCTCGACGCTCCCCCCTCCTGGGAGTTCAGGGCAAAGTGGGCCTTTGTGTTGGGTTGGTGTGGTCTGGTGGGTGGTGGACCTCGCAGAGAGCCGATTAGGGGTGCCCGACTCGTCCCGAAAGGCCGCTGTTGGCCCCAGGAGTGCCCCCGGAACGGCAGGCCCACGGAGGCGCCGAGAGGCCATCGGGGGGGGGGCCCTCGGCAGCCCTCGGGGGCCCTTCGGGGGGCCGGCGGAGGTCCCGGTGGCCTTCGGAGGGCCCCATCCGAAGGAGAGGGAGGTTGAGGACGAGAAGCAGACTACAGTCAGGAAGCTGAAAGAAGGACCGCTTTGGGTTCGGAAGGGGCTCGCTGTTCATTAGGTCGTTCCGTGGTTGCTCCTCTAGCCTTCCTCATGCACCCAAGCGCTCCTGGTGCCAAAGAGGGGTTTCGTTCCTTATTTTGCGTTCCTTACTTCAGCGACCCAATTGCAGGGGGAGGAAAATACAGAAGAGAACAAAAAATAGCTCAAGGCGAAAAGGAATTGAGGATGATGTGGAGCCAAGTGAGGAGCCGGGCGAGAAGGAGGGGAAAGCGCAAGAGATGCATGAGGATCAGCGGGTTGAAAACATTACCTTGGCGCGACTCCAACTAGCTGCATAGCGTGGTGGCGTCCTACAAACATACAGACTTACGTGTAGAGAGAAAGACATACATACACCTAGAACTGTGTATGTGAATACATACGTACATAATTATATATATATATATATGTATATATGTGTGTGTGCGTGTATTGCCAGCATGCCCTTCTTCTGCGTGTTGATAGAACGTTGCGACATCCTCATTTTCTCTCCGCACCTGGGCGGGTTGAGGAGGCAACTTGCGCATGAACGCGGGCTGGCTACCAGCCTTCACCACAGCTGGGTCCTGTCAGCAGGGAGGAACGCTGTGAATACCTGACTTTTTGTGAGGAACGAAGAAGACAAAGAGAGAAACATGAATTGAATTCAAACACATTTTGGTGGCAAAAGACTCCCGTGGGACACCCTTCTCGCTCCTTTCGTAACTCGCCCAAAAACACGCTTCATCGATAAATCGCACACACACACACACGGAATCCGACTAAAAAGGCGACCAAAAAACATATGTAATCCACCTAATAAATATCAATACGCACATCTCCCAGCAGAGGATTCCTTGCGAAAGTGAGCCAAAAATATTATGGACCCCCCAAAAAAACATTAGTCCGTCGCCCTCCCCGTTTTGCTTTTCCCTTCACGCCCCCGACCGCCCCTCCCCGAAAAGAGAACGGGAAGGGCGACGGATGTCTGTTTTTGTTTTATTGTTTTCATCCGGGATGCCCAAAACTTTCTATGACTCCCTTTTCAAAGGAAAGCCTTGTGGACGATTACATGTTGATTTCTGTTGCCTGGATACGAGCCGAATTGTTTGTGATTACTTTTTAATCGGATTGATTTTGTGGGCGGTTTACATGTTGATTTCTACGGTGTAGAATACACCGAAAATGTGTTCGGCTATCTGAATAGCATCACGATTGTGAGCGATGTACACATTGATTTCTATGCTGTGCATTACAGTTAGAATCCCTGTGTCCGATTTCACAGTATGGCGCCTTACGCGGGAGACGTACATACGGCAACATGATTGCGCGGAGGTGCCTCCATCCCTACAAAAGGGTTAATTGCGGGCGGTTCCGCCTGTAATCCAGTTTTTTTTTGAAGTGGATCGCACTCACCTCCAATCGAATCTCATGAAAGGTGGGCCCATCCGTAGTAAGATGCTCTTAGAGGCGATTCCATTCCGAATGGAATCAAATAGACGTGGGCCCACCTCCACTAGAATTCTATTCCACGTCGTTCCACCCTGAATGACATCCTGTTGGACGTGGATCCACTTGTTCTGCGATTGCTAATGAGATGTATTTCGCGTGGCTTCATCCTTATCATGACTCAAATCGAAGTGGATCCGCCTCGGGTATGATTAGATTAAGAAATGAGTCCGTCGTCAATGGGTGTGTATTACGGATTGCTTCATGAATAATACGGTTATGCGAGAGGTGGGCCCACCTCTAATCGGATACCATGAGCGACGCGTCCACCCCTAATAGAATGATGCGAGCGGTAGATACATATCTAATATGATGAGATTGCAGGTGGCTCCAAGCCGCTGGGAGTCTGTAAGAAGGATTGCCTTACAAGTGGCTCCGTCTGTGAACGAAGGTCATCCGAGAGGGCGCGATTCACTTAGTGACGCCGAGTCTGTGGATTACGCACAGAATCAATTTTGCGCTGCGTTCCGATGGGATTCCTTTTGTGGGCGATCCGCAAGGTTCTTCCTATTGTTAGGGTTACACATGTATTCCCTCTGTGCGATTTGGCATGGGGGTTCTTCTTGCGGGGGATTCACAGAATAACTTCTACCGCGCGGGGCGGCCCCATTCCTTCGAGGGCTCTAGCCCAAGCGGGCCAGCCTCTAATCGGGTTTTATTAGAGGTGGGTCGCAGCCACCTCCAATCGAACCGCATGCGAGGTGGATCCAAACCCATAATAGACTTCTACTAGAGGCGCCCCCCCCCACCCCACCACCCCCCACCCCACCCCACCCCGATGGCATTCAAATGTAAGCAAATCCACCTCTAATAAAACTACACTCCAAGTGGTTGCTTCATCCCCCATGGGATCCCATTGGAGGCGGGCCCACCTGAGCTGAGACAGAATCCTGCCATAGATGATGCGGTCCTCAGTAAGATCAGATTGAAA